CACTCTTTCTTTCTTTCTTTCTTTCTTTCTTTCTTTCTTTCTTTCTTTCTTTCTTCATCTTGGATCAATCTAAAGAATGGACTGTTTTGTGACATAAGTTTAAGTAACCTCTAGTGTAAAGAATAAACCTTTTTTGAGACCCTCAGCATACAGAGGCGGACGCCAGGCCATCTGTGCTCCAGGAACTTAGCTGACCTCAAAAGGGTGGAGCCAAGAATACAGGTCATCTTGTCATAGGCTCTGGGCTCTGGGTTCCAGGAACTGGCTGACCATAAAGAAAATACCAGTCATCTGGGTTGTCCCAAGGACTGGCTGTCTGTGCGACTGTGTAAGGACATTCTGGGTCATGGCTGAGCAGGTGCCTAGAACCCCGAGACTCTGCATGAGAACTGGAAGGAATTCGGTGCCCCCCCCCCAATCCAGGGTCCTGAAAAGCAGTCACATCTCCATAGAATTACATTGTTCAGTCACATAGGCCAGACTATAGGCCTCAGGCCCTAGGGCTTTACATACTAATGAAGGCCAGACAGTCCCTCCCAAGTGCAAGGGTAGAGGGTGACTAGAGGCCTCAGGCCCTAGGGAATGGATTATCCCACCGATCTCTCCTGCTGAAACTAGGAAGGATTTGGGTGGGGCCTTCCCTTTAAATTGAAAAGCCAAACATTAAAGCATTGAGCCTTGATCAGAAAACTTTGTCTTGGTTTCATCTCTTCTTGCCCTCTGTACTTCTTTTGTTCCCAGCCCCCTTTCAGGTGAACCCAGTTGACTTTTGGCCACAGGCTGCTACAGGTGGTGCCTGAACCAGGGACCTGAAAATGGGGGGGGGGGAGGGATCAACTGACAAACACTGTCTTGGTTGGAGCTCCATGGAAAATGGAAAAAGAAGGAGAGTATCCCGTGCACTTGGTAAGCAGCAAACAGCATTGATACTAGCACTAGTTACAATTATTTTTGGACCCCTAACTCACCAAGGAGGTGACAGCAATTTTGGGACCGAAGAATTCCAAACAGGCATTTGCCGCAGCCTAAACACTACTTCAGGCGAGAGGAGCAGGGTTAGAAGGAATTGGAATTGGAAAACTAAGAAAATAGGGCACTGAAGTGTTACTATAAATAGCTGCCCACTACATCCCCTAAAGAAAGAGATGAAAAGTTAAGATCTTGAATATGAGAGACAGAAAGGGTTTCAGAAAAGCAGTTGTCCTCTCTCTGATCTGTGTCACCAAAAAAGAATGAAAAGGCTGTTTCAGAGCTCTTGTAGGAACAGGAGGAAAATCAGGAGACGTCCTGAGTTTCTCTTTGGCTCCTAGAGGTTTTCACCTGTTGTCTGTCCTTGGCGAGCCAGTGTCCACATGTGTCAATTGTTTGTTTTTTGTTTCATTGTCTAAATGTTTGGTGTTCTATGATTCATGTTCAAAACAAAAAATGGTTAAAGCTTTTAGATATCCACCCCTTGATCTAGTTTAACTTGGTTTCAAAGGCTGTCTTAATGTGCACAGCAAAGGCTGATAAGTTAACCTACACCTGTAGCTAAGAGTTCAGCTGAGCTAGAAAAGCCTGTCCAGGAATTGTTGGCATAAGCTGCTTTTAAAAAGGACCAGCAGCTTTTTGGATTCTATAAGGAAGCTGAGAGCTGTTTGTCCTAGAAAAATCTGTCAAGGTGCTTTTCTCTTGAAATTACAGCTAGAAAAAGCAAGAAATTTTGTTTGGTCTAAATATATACTTCATTTTTGTTTTTGATTGGTTTTAAAAGTATAAATATGTTTTACATGTCTTGGTTATAGATTATTGGCTTATACATTATTGGGTTTGATTAAAAATTTGCAACTTTGGTGACAGAAAGTTGGCTTAAAACTTGTAACTCAGGGTTGGAGTCATTCAGAAACCAGATGTATAAAAGACTTAGTTTAGAGAAAATAGATTGTTTACCTTGTTAAAAATTGGTTTTGCTTAAGAAACTTAAATATAGTTAAACTGCCACTTTTCCATTGGCTGCAGATGGAAGTTCAATCGTGAGTTTGGAATTTTTTTACTCACCCATGTTTATTTTTGAGAAGAGGATAGAGCAGGTAGAGTTGAATAGTAAGACTATTTTGTCAGGAGGAGATTACTTGCTTTGGAGCTCAGAATGTCTTGATACTAGCAAGAAAACCGCCATGATGAATGCTCAGGCAGGCAATGTAGATTGGGATCTTAACATGCTTCTAGGAGGTCAATATGAAGGTAATGCTAATCAGGTTGAACTGCCTGCACAGCTATCAGACCATACAAAGCAAAGACAGACTTACACGGCTACATTCGTCTTTGTGCTGAAATTGGGCCCTCATACAATCAGGATCTGGCTATAGCTGCTGCCTTACAAGGGACCACTGTACAAGCAATGCTTCCACAGAACCTTAAAGATAAAAAATGTTTTAAATATGGAGAATTAGGTCATTTTTTAAAATGACTGTTCCAGGAACAAAGGCACAAGCAACAATCAGGTCACCAAAGTCTCTTGCCAGAAATTTGTCCTTGGTGCACGAAGGATAATCTTTGGGCCAGGCCTCGGGATATAGGCTGAGATTAAGAACATTCACCTTTGAATTAAGATTATGTACAGAGTAGGAACAGCAGAAGCTTGAATGACAGACATTCCTTTTGACTTGATCATTGTGACCAGCCCCGAGAAGAGTGTTTTCTGGAATTTGTTTATTGCCTTGCTTGTTCCTTGAGAGGGAGGCATCAGCCTCAGACCCAAAGACATTCACAACCACTTATGGGCCAGGAGTTATAGATAATGATTATGCTGGAGGAATTAAAATTGTGCCTGCTTCCCTCCATGGCATTATAGCTGTGCCTTTTGTGTTAACAAAAGAAGTGCTCTAAGAGTTAAAGAGGACAAGATTAGGCCTTCAACTTGGCCTTTGTCTGATACTCTCACTCAGCTAGAAGGAATTGGTTATTCAATTAATCCAAAACAAAGTTCAAACTTAAGATTTATGAAACTGATGAGGCATCACAGCCTGACTTGCCTATTCCAGCTGCCATTCCAGTAAATGCATATAAAATTATTATAGATTTAGAAGATTGTTTTATACCATTCCTTTACATCCTGGTAAAGGTGAGAGGTTTATACTAAGTGAATTTGTAATTTTTGAGAACCTATAAAGCAATATCATTAGAAAGGTTTGCCTCAAGAAATGGTCAATAATAGCCTTACATTATATAAAAAATGTTGTTGCTTTAATACAAAAAGTTAAAGCATTTGAATCTCTCAGTGTATATTATTCATTGTATATTTTATTTTCTGATCTCTCTGAAGGAGTTTTTCCACAAGCCTTTGCTCTCATATAATGAGCTTTAAAATTTTGGGTAGTGCTTGTTGCTCCAGAAAAGATTCAAAGGCAATATCTTTTCAATATTTGGGACCTCAGTTATATCTTAATCAGATTGTGGCATGGAAAATTCCAATAAGAATGGGTAGTTGGGGCTGGAGAGATGGCTCAGCCTTTAAAGGCTAGACTCACAACCAAAAATATGAGAGTTCAATTCCCAGCAACCACATGGTGGCTCACAACCATCTGTAATGGGATCTACTGCTGTCTTCTGGCTTGCAGGCGTACATGCAAAAAAAAAAAAAAAAAAAAAAAAAAAAAAAAGTTTACTTTTAGTGATTTTCAAAAGTTGTTAGGAGATATTAATTAGCTAAAATCTCATCTTAAGCTTACCATAAGAGAACTTTGACCTCTGTTTGATATTCTCAAGGGGGATGAAAGTCCTAATTCCCCTTGACAATTAACTGATGAAGGAGGAACAGCTTTACAGAAAGTAAACTGTTAGTTATCAACAGATACAATATATAGACTATGATCATTTGTTGGCTGTTTGTGTTATTGCTACTCATGTGCTCACAGCAGCCCTTTGGCAAAAGAAACTCAATATGGATTCATCTTCATCTGCAAGTAAAGTTTGAACATCCTATTATGAAATTGTTACTGTGTTAATACAGAATTGCAAGATAGAATCCTGAAAGTATTTTGGATGAAATGTTTATTCCTTATTCCAAATAGAAATTAAATTGGTTATTAGAGAATAATGATATTTGGCCTATTACATGGCAGACTTTTAAGGCAAATTTGATAATCATTATCCATAAGACAAGTTATTACAGTTTTCCTCTATGTACACTTTTGTATTTCCTGTAAGTTTGCATGCAGCCCATGGGAAAAAAATGTTTACTGTATTTACTGTATTTACACATTTACCACAAATGGGGGGGAGGGACCAGGGAGAAACCAAGGAAGAATTATCATAAAAACAGTGGAAAGTCCCAGCCCATACCATAAAAATAGTGGAAAGTCCCAACCTATTAGTGGGTCATAAACCAGGGCAGGGTGTGAGAAACATCCTGTACATATTTTTCTCAAGAATTTAGGCAGTGGTGGCGCATGCCTTTAATTACAGCATTTGGGAGGCAGAGGCAGGTGGATTTCTGAGTTCGAGGCCAGCCTGGCCTACAGAGTGAGTTCCAGGACAGCCAGGGCTATACAGAGAAACCCTGTCTTGAAAAAACAAAACAAAACACAAAAACAACAACAACAAAAAGAATTTAGCTTCATCATTTATCTTGTGGTCAGCCAGTTCCCGGAACAACTCACCCGACCTGTATTTTTAGTTCTGCTTCACAGTTCCTGAAACTCGGAGCCTGTAAACCGGTTGGTCTACATTCTTGTCTCGGGGATCTTAAAACTCTCTATATCTTTTATGAATTTTTATATCTTTCACGGACACACAGGATCGCTCTCAGCAAGCCCAGCCATCCATCACAGCGTGTATCCATCGCACAGGGCAAGGAGATTTAAGATCCAGGAAGTGAAACCACAGTTCCCGTGACGCCTCTCGAAGAGACCTGCAGCGCCAGTCGCTGCTGTGATCTCCCGCCCTGGTTGTGGCTACACCGTGGCAGCAGAGACAGGGGAATGACCGCGAGCTCTCAGGTACCCTCGCGGGTGGGTGCGCAAGCGGGCGGGAGAGGAGGCCAGGGGCTTAGCGGGAGTCGGTTGAGGCCGGCCCTGCGTGGGGCATCTGAGGCTGCGGCATGGCTGCGAGTCAGGCGGCTGGGTACCGAGCGGATGTGTTTGCTTGTTTGCTCTGCCGAGCAGCCATCTGGTCTCTCTCTCTCTCTCTCTCTCTCTCTCTCTCTCTCTCTCTCTCTCTCTC